TCTATACTTGTATGTTTTTGCTTCTATTATTTTCCTGTTTCGTTCTTTCCTTCATTGGTGTTGCCTTTAAGCTAGCAGTGACGTTGGAGCCGATTACGTGTTGTTTTTCCTTTTGCTATTTTTTGTTGAGATACGACCTAGAGTCGATAGGAATTTTTTTAATCGTAATTAATCGTGACCTTTCGTCAAATTGCGGCCGAGGGCCAGTAGATATTTGTTTGAGAGAGGTTGAATGTAACCTTTCGTTATTATTACGGCAGAGGGTTGATAGGTGTTTGTCGAGCGGCTTCGAATATAACCTTTCGTTAGTATTGCGGTCGAGGGCCGATTGGTATTTGTTCGAGGGGGGTCGAACGTAACCTTTCATTAGTATTTTGGCCGAGGGACAATAGATATTTGTTCGAGCGAGGTTGAACATAACCTTTTGTTAGTACTGCGGCCGAGGGCCGATATGTGTTTGTTAGATCGGGGTCGAACATAACCTTTCATTAGTATTGCAGCCAAGGGCCGATATGTGTTTGTTTGAGCGGGGTCGAATGTAACCTTAATATGGAAGAGGTGTGTTGATAAGCGTAAATTTCTTATTGCTTTGACATTGTTTCTTTGGTTACATACTTGGAGAAATTTACAGATTTTTGGGTGTTGGCTGGCATTCCAGTCTTAGTCCCAATATATCTAGTCCCTTCATTGGTTGACTTGGAGAGTATTGAGAGGTCGAGCAATGAAATAGTAATCACTACCCTGCATTCGCATACTTCGACTCAAAGCGTTCCTTTTGTCGCCTAGTTAAAAACCTCCTTGAGAAAACCCAACTGGGATAAAACTCAAGTGAGGGAAAAAAAAGAGTACGACTTGAGGAGCGCTTTTTCTCTCAAAAGTTGAAGTATTTGAGGTGGCTGATATTCCAGTTGTTTGGTAGTAGCTTTTCTTCCATTGTCTCTAGTTGGAATGAACCCTTATTTGCTTTTGCTGTGATTTTGTACGGATCGTCTCCCGGGGATCTTTGCTCGCTAGAGTTTTGGCTTTTTGTACGTAGTCTCTGACTTTAAGCGGCCTGAACCTTGCTTTCTAATATTGTTTTGCTCGTTGTTTTTGGACGACCATTCTTATATAGGCCATATATTCGTTCGTCGACTTCGTCGAGATCCTGCCTCCTAATCTCGTCATTACTCGTGCCGCTCTTATGAGAGTACCTTAGGATAGGCTCTCTAACCTCGACTGCCATTACTTTCTCGGTCCCATAGACCAAAGAGTGTGGCGTCTCTCCTATGCTAGTTTTCGGAGTTGTTCGATAGGCCCGTAGTACTTCTGGTAGTATCTCCAACCATAGTCCCTTGGCATTTTTGAGCTTCTTCTTCGTGATGTTTAGTATTAATTTGTTGGAGGATACTGCTTTTATGTTACCCGCGGGGTGATATAGGGTCAAGAGTATCCTCTTGATATGCCATTTCTCAAAGAATTCAGCGATTTTCTTTCCGGTGAACTGGGTCCGTTGTCACAACTGATTTCTTTGGGAAGGCCGAACTGACATATAATGTTTCTCCATATAAAGGTGATTACCTCCTGTTCCTGTATTTGGGCGAATGATCCTACTTCCACCCACTTAGAAAATAGTCAGTTAAAATCAAAAGGAATCGTATATTACCTCGCCCTGCTGGGATGGGGGGCCACGATGTCCATTCCTCATTTGATGAATGGCCAAGGGGATGTGACCGAGTAGAGATGACCGCCTGCTTGGTGAATCATTGGGGCATACTTTTGACACAGTTCGCATGTCCTTACGAAGTCTGCTGACTCCTTTTTCATGGTGGGCCAGTAATATCCTACATGTATAAGGCATCTGACCAGTGCCCGGTTGCCAGAGTGAGCCCCGCAATGGCCTTCGTGGACTTCTTCAAGGACGCGATGAGTTTGATTCTAGCCTAAGCACTTCGCTAGAGGGCTGTTGTAAGTCCTCTTGTACAGGTCGCTGTGAATGATACTATATCTGGCCGCTTGCATTCTTAGTTTCTTGGCCTTTTTTTATCACCAGGGAGTGTGTCGTCCTGCAAGTATGTGATAATACGATTGTACTAGTTCCAAGTTAAGTTTATGGTTCTTACCTTGACTTGGTCTAATGATGAGTTGAGGAGATGGACCACGTTTTTTTCTCCGGTTGTGATGTTGTGGCTAGTTTGGCGAGGCCATCTACCTCGGTATTCTGTGCTCGTGGGATTTGGTCGAGCTGAAATTCATCGTACTCAGGTAATAGATTGCAGATTTTGGTCTGGTATTTTTGCAATCTTAGTTCTTTGATTTGAAAAGTCCCTGTGACTTGGTTAACTACGAGCTGGGAATCACAGCGCAACCGTCTCGCTTTGTATTTGAGTGCTAACCTTAAACTTGTAATTACGGCCTCGTACTCGACCTCATTGTTAGTCATATTCGGGCACCTTATTTGATTAGGTAGTGAACTTAAGAAAATAAGTGAAGATTTTTGAAACTTGTGGTTTAAAATGAGTCAAAGATTTTTGTGTAGTTGTAAATCATCTCATAATGCTAAATATTTTTCAAATATAAAAAGGGGATCATTCTTTTGAAAACTGACTTAAAAGAAAATAGGTTCACATAAATTGAAATGGATGGAGTAACAAATTAAAATTTAGAAAATATTTCATTAATGACCATCAAAGTCCTTTATAATAAAATAATAATAGTATAAAACAATATTAGAGAAAAAAATTCATAGAATGATTATTCTACTTATAGTGTTAATGAGTTTAAATAATATCTATAATAAGATAAAAATATTATTTATACTATATGTAAAATACCTAGGTTAAAAAATAAATATCATATTATACAATATAAAAAGGTAGTGCATAGATGGAGGATTGAATATGACAAAGGAAAAATAGACATTACATTGGATAAACGGGGAAGGGGGGAGGGATGACTATTGTTCAAAGTTGAGGAAGGACTTTGATTTTGAAGGTAAAGTTGGGGCGTACATAATTTTTACCCTTTTTATATATGGGAATTTGTTTTTACACATAAGAGATAAGATCTAAAAAAATATTTTATTAATTTTAATATTGTAAATAGTTATGAAGGCTCACCCCGCCCCC